GTTATGTTATGTTATAACGGCTATCCAGATATTGTGAAACAGTCCCTTATTGTTGTTTTTCTGAAGAGCTGGCACATAACTATTGAACGGAGTTACAGACGTCAATGGTGATGAAGACGGGTACAATCACGTGTCGCGCATTCGAAACCGCTTCGCTCTTGAAAATTATTAATTTATTTTGTAATCTAACATTGTTGCTGCTATTTAAGTGTTTTATAAATGGCAGTTTGATAAGCGGTACAGCGTATTCATTTTGATGCTCTCTGAAGTTCAACGTCCACGTGACCAAATCACCAATTGATTAATATACATACACTCGCTATCCGGCTTCGCTGACATATGTAGGTACATTTTGACACAAGGTCCAATTTCGATTGAACTTTTTTTGAACAAATCAGCATTATAATAGGAATATTATTACAAGAAAAGGGAGTTTTACGATATTTATATGTTAAAAATACATTCAAATAGGTACTACTTATAGATAAAGTATCAAGTACAGTGCAATCTTCGTAACTCACATTTGTATTATTTTGATACAGTTTTATATTGTGATTCTAAATGATTATTATTTACTTCATTTAATTCTTTCAAATACTTTTAATCAATATGTGATCTAAGTGAATGTAGTACCGAGATTACACTGTAAATTGATTAACAAGAAAAATAGAGGAATTTCTATATAGCTATGATTATATTATTTACAATAATATTGTTATAACAAACAGATCAACTATTTTATTAAAATTTCTAATTTAGACTAAATATTTATTTCAATGCTTATTGCCATCAAATGGACAATTTGAGCAACTATTTTTCTATTAATATTACATTACAGCACATTTTATTCCCTACAATATAAATAAAACTTGGGGTCTTTTAACCCCCAAAGTCAAAAGGGGTCATTAGACACGAGTGTCAATAGACCCCATTATACCAACTACTATAAATAAATTATTGCTATGTGAATACTATTATTTTTACATTCTACTATAATAGTATCTAAATATCGCACCCGTACTATGAACTTGCAATATTGCGAAGCGTTTTTTCGAAAATTATCTTAATAAGTAGACTTACGATTAAAATGATGACTAGACCATATGTTTGCGATTTTCAATCGCGTAGTCGTTATCAAATTTAGAACTACCACTTTACCTAGAGAAGGAATGTAAGATTTTTGCCACAGTGTATAAATACTTTGTGCAGTTGGTCAACGTTTCATCTGTCAGATGACATTCACAGCGGTTTGACAGCTTACCACAGATATTATAAAGTTAGTCTTCACAGTTCAACATAAATACCAAAGACTTTGGAAAAAAAGTCGGACACAATGCAACGTAGAAAAGATTGATGCACAAAAATGTCAGTGGTTTATTTACTTGTGCGTGTGTATTGGGTTACCACGTTACCAGACTTCTGTCTCGTGGTGGCCCTCTTCTCATGCATGAGGGTGCAGGTTCGAAACCTACCAACGGCAAGTACCAATGTGACTTTTTCCGAGTTACATGTACTTTCTAAGATTATTCAGACACCACTGATAAACGGTGAAGGAAAACATCGTGAGGACACCTGGGCTTATAATTCCTAATTATAAGTTAGAAATCACCAACCCGCATTGAGCAAGCGTGGTGATTAGTGCTCAAACCTTCTCCGTGTGAGAAGAAGCTTTCAGCAGTCGGCATTTATAAGCTGTTGATGATGATGATGATGATGATGATGATGTTACCAGACTTCAGAAAATTACAGATATACTTCATGTCTATGTGTTTATGTTCTGCGTGTAACTCTATAGTAGCCAGATGCCACAGACGGTGTTTCAAGAGACTGTGTCCGCCTTTTCTTCCAACGTCCTTGAAATTTTAAAAAGAAAAGTTGAGCCTATAATTTTTCGTTACTCCACGTCACTCTAACTATCAGCTATTGTTCTTTTTAGGAATACCAACTAAATAATAGGGATTATGACAGGGTATGAAAATTAAAAATCTAATTAGTCCGCCTATTAGGTAACGGAAAAATATAAGACACGTATTTTTTTTATTTTGTCGTTTAAGAATAAAATACTTAGATAAATCGAATCAAAGTTTAGGAGTAGGAGGTGACTACGTCATTTTAGAGTATAAATCGTACTCAAAAGTGACGTCATGCGATATTTCAAATCAATATATATCTTCGAAACTATTCGTTTCCGTAAGAAAATTAAAAAATAAATGTCTTATGTTTTTAAACAATCTACCAGACGGACATTAAAATAAAAATTAGTCATCTACCCTATTGCGTCAAACAACTGCACATAGTAAGTTATCCGTGTCTATTACTATTCTAAAACATACATATAAACATTGACGTAGGTATCAGTTTGTTATATAAAGCCTTAATTAAAGAGAGCGCGAACACATACAGATATTTACGTCAACACTTAGTTAACATTTCCGTATATATTACAATACAATATTAATAAAGCGAAATTTTGACATTACATATCCAATATTCGATATACCACATACGTTCCTATATAGATTCCACATACAAAAAACTTATATACAACGCGCCCGAGTATAAGCCTACGTACAAAATAGCAGTATTCGATGCTCTATTCTACACTAACACAAATCGTTCATGAGATTTTACGACTGCGACTTTTTAGTCGCACGTCTAATTACTACACAAACTGCGCGGTTCCCGTGTCTTTCCAGCAGCTGAAGCAGCAAGGTAGAGCGCACATGAGCGTATTTTTGAACGCGTCTCGAAAATCGCGATTGAAGTAGGCGTAAATGAGCGGATTGAGTGCTGAATTGAAGTAGCCAATCCAGAATAGGACGCCGACAACGACAGATGGTGTCTCGCATGGCTCGCCGCACACGTTTGTTGTGACGTACCTGGAAAATAAATGTATTTTGAGGAACCGATAATATAGTTGATTTGACTTCTATACATTATCCTTTTACATTTAATTTAGGTGATTTTTACAACGTAGTTGTATTTGTAGTAATGCTTCAAACCTTCTGGTCTCGATGATAAATAAATTTGGAAACTACGAGTATTTTTATATTAAACTGTCAAACACCAAGCGGTCACCGGTGACCGCAACCTATTGTTCTATAATTGTGTCTATAATGACGGTACTCGACGAGTTAAATACAATAGTTTATTAAACTCAAACGCATATAGGTATATCTGAACAATTATTAACCCGTCGTGTGTTTAAACGTGGATGAGACACAATGTGTTTTCTATTGTGTTTCATATACGGCATATTGTGATTCAAGCGGTTAACCGACATATTAGAATATCATATTTTTAATAGATAGGGAAATGTGCTGGTTACTTACCATAGAAAAAAAGGAAGCCAACACAACAAAAACGCGCCAACGATGATACCAAGTGTGCGCGCGGCTTTATGCTCCGCTCGCCACGACTTCCCAGCCGCTCGCAGAGTCGCACCTGTTGGCAATTAAAAAAGAAGATTATATAATTTATTTTTAATTCATAACGTAAGATCATATCTATTATTCCGCAGGGGGCTATTTTGCCAAATATATTGTTATCAGTAAGAGTTTGACACTCTCTCTCGCCTCACCCGGGAGAGAAGTCATTGGATGATTTTCCCTCCTCAGCCTGTTGCAATAAGGCTAGTCTGTGGTTGGGTATGGTAGAATTTGTATACCTAGTAGCTTAAAACGTATTTGGAACTCAGTAATTTCTGTAAGTAACTACAAACAGGTGTGCAGGTAGATTTTTAAAGTGATACTAGGTCTACTCGATCTTAATGAAAGTAAATTTAAAACATATAAAGTGTGAATTATGTAAATAAGCCTACTAAAAACTGATAGATTATCTTGAACATAAAAATGCTTGGCAGCATGTTGGTTCAGCTCCACTGGACAATACTCAAATGTAGTCAGTAGTTACTCAGATTCCAATAGTAAGTAATTTAATATTTTCATTCTAATGTAGACAATCTAGTTTCCTTATAGCATCGAGCATTACTTTCTTTATTGAAACAAAGAGTTTCATTTATCTTGTATAGAAGCACAAGCACTATTTTTATGCAGTTGTCAGTATGCATATTAAATGATACGATGTATGAGCACCATGTTAAACGATAAGTTTTTTTTTTATTATATGTTCTTTGACTAATGACATTTGCCCAAAATAATTGTATTATTTGCGCATGAGTGTGTTAATTCTGTGTTAATAATGTGCCTATAATGAACAAAATTAAATAATGTTGTGTTTTAAATATTTTATCTTAAAAAAAACAAATTACATAATAAACACGTCATAAATTACAAAGAACAAACTTCCAACACAAAACACATTCAATTCCATTAAATTTTCATACACACAATGTATGAAATGTATGAAGAAAAAAATGGAAGCATGAACTCATTTCATATGCAACGTGTCTTACAAGTTTTGTACTTGTAACAGGTGGGGTACGAAAGTATGGCGAAGTTTTCTTATTTCTTGAAGATAATATTGCCCGTCTCCCATATTGCAGAGAGAAAAGTTTCACCGCTACAAATGGGGTGCTGTTTTAAAGGATTTCATGACGATTATGTAGGAAATACATTGTTGTAGGGTTGCTGGTTGTGAAATTAAAGCCCCGGTGTTCTTGATGATTATTTATTTATTGGCAACTTCATAACAACATAACATCACGCTTTTTTATTCCCTAAGGCGTAGGCAGAGGTGCACATTATGCCACTGTACTTTTTAACACCCACTTTTCACTATTTATGTTATGGGTCCCATGTAATAGGGGTTGAGGCTATTACTATATACCGGATCTGGAATACATCGGGACCTCTTGCCCAGCAGTCGCACTTTCCAACCATTCGGCCAAGGAGGTTTAGTACCTTAGGAACCTTTAGTTACTTATACTTCCTATCCAAACTGAACTTTAGTAATCAAGTCTATCTACATACACATTATACGCATGCACTATACTTCTAACTCGCGGTATACCTTCCACTTATACAAACTATAAACAAACTTCACCTGCGGTATTGGCAGGCAATTTACTACAGGTTTACATTGTCTACTGATCAATTTACCAAGTTAAATAAACTTTACCTGAGTTTTAGGCCGCGATAATTACAAAGTTTTCAATGAAAACACTTATTACGGTTTCTTTATGCGCTATTAAGTTTAGTTTGAATTATAATGAAGGTTAATAGTAGATAACCTAGTAATTTTGGATCAGTTATTCATTTAGATAACTAATTTAATGAGTGATAAACATGATAGGAATTTAAATATTCAAGAATTTTTATTTGTTTGCCTCGGCCGAGTGGTCGCAAGTGTGACTGCTAGGCACCGGGCCGGGCAAAATATTACTAAGTTTTTTCTAGGTTTTTTTAAGTGTGGGATAGCCATGATTCGGCACGAATGGGCCGGCTTGACCGGAGTGATACCAAGCCTCACAGAAAACCGACGTGAAGCAACGCTTGCGTTGTGTATCGTCGTATGAGTGAGGTTTCCGGAGGCCTACCCTCCTCTTCCCCAATCTCCCCAATTCCTGAATCCCCAACGATCCTCAAACTCCTAATCCCCAAAAGGCCGGTAACGCAAATGTAACGAGGTGTTCGAGGTGTCCATGGGCGACGCCGATTGCTTACCATCAGGTGATACGTCTGCTCGTTTACCGGCTTGTGACATAAAAAAAATACGATCCTTTTACAAATTGTTATATCTTCAAATTCTTGTACGAGATAAGAATTTCACAACGCTACAGGTTGAATGGAAATTATTTTGAGAATCTTATAGGAATTTGTTGCTAGCATCGGTTTGGTATCGGAGTCGAATGTTTGGTATCGTATGCTCCATTATCGAATATGCACTGTTGTATCATTTAAACAATGTAACCAAGAATATTGAATTGTGAACCTGATTGAGAAAGATTAACTTATAGAGTTTCTTGCTCGTTCTTCGCCATAAGAATCTACACTTTAGAACGAGCAAATAGTTTCACTAGAGGAGCCAACAGACTGATTTTTTTTAATATTTCAATATTTTGTTTTGACCTTCAAAAGTGCGTTCCTAGTCTGATTTGTTAAAAAACCAAATACAACTTTGAAATGATTTGAGTATATAACTAATTTACAAAGAAAAAATCTACTTAAATACGGTACTTAATGCCACTGTACAATGTAACAACCCTTTTACACTATTTATTTTATGAGTCCCATGTAAAAGGGGGTGAGGGGGTGCTACCGGGCACAATTCCGGACTCTGTGCTTGTACTGAAAATTAAAAAAAAAAAAAATACTTTGCCCGACCCGGGAATCGAACCCGAGAACCCTTGCCTAGCAGTCGCACTTGCGACCACTTGGCTAACGAGGCAGTAAAATAGATGTCTACAACCACCTATAAAATCAACCATATCTATCTAATATTTAATTAAAACATATAAACTAAAACCTTTCAACTTGAAACAGTAACGAGAAAGATAAAAATATGATGGATGGCTTCATTTTGCTCCGCAGACCCTGTTAAAGGTACTAATGTCTTTCGAGATAAGTACATTTCAAGTCCCGGGTATTATAATGTCGCAAATGAATGATATTACATTTCTACCAGTCTGTTAAGAAGTGAGCTGATTGCGTATATCCAAATTTGACAGAGAAAAGCCGTTTTGTGAGCTGATATGAGAGTTTTGGCGAAAAGTGTGGGAGAGCCATGCTTCGGCACGAATGGGCCGGCTCGACCGGAGTGATACCACGGCCTCACAGAAAACCGACGTGAAGCAACGCTTGCATTGTGTTTCGTCGCGTGAGTGAGGTTACCGAAGGCCCAATTTCCCTCCCCTTCCCCAATCTCCCCAATCCCTGAATCCCCAACAATCCTCAAACTCCTAATCCACAAATAGCCGGTGACGCACTTGTAACGCCTCTGGTGTTCCAGGTGTCCATGGGCGACGCCGATTGCTTTCCATCAGGTGATCCGTCTGCTCGTTTACCGGCTTATGCCATAAAAAAAAAAAAAAGTCTTGTTCGAATTTAATTTTAATTGGTTTAGGGTTATGTATGTGAATAATAATACTATTTTTCCCACGTAAATGAGAAAATCAGTAATACCAGTCGTTTATATTTGGGTATTCATAAAAAAAACCGTCGAATAAAAACCTAGATATAAAAGCCAAAAAATAAACTGTTATTTATTGTATTGCCTACCCACTGATGGTATAGAAGTTTCAAGTGGTCACCTAAAGTCAATCCTAGTTGTTTTCATTTCACCAAAACAGGTAACTATCCCACTGTTTTCAATAAAATTCATAATCCTAACTTTCTAAGTTAAAAAACCCATTACGAGACACAGTAAAATCACTCTAAGCGATCTTCATAAATGCTCATACGAGCGAACCAATATTTCATCAAAAAGATTAATGTTCATTTCAAAAAATATTTCAATATTTTGCCAAAAATGCCTTTAATAACTCGGTGAAACTTAAATAGTTAATAGCTTTTACTCTTAATACGGTGCGGGGGAGAAAATTGGGCGATTTTGTAACATTTTAATGAAAAAATTCATTTTAAAAGATAACTTTATTTAACAATCTCTCGACGTAAAATTCTCTTCTCTTTGATGCCTTAATGTCTTCATAATATGCTCATAAATTTTCTTAATGCAATCTATTCTTCAACTCATTGAGTTTTCTAATAATTTTCCTATTACTTATTTTAATTAAAGGCTTCACCAGATCACCATGGTGGCGCAACCAGTCACGCCACCGTGGCGGCTGGTCTGGCAGTTGAGTGATTACCACACCATACATCGCTATAGTAATGAGTGGTGGTGCGACCAACGTGGATGAATGATTGCGATCTAATCTGGTCGCGTCCCCAGATTGGTTGCGCTACCAAGCGGACACCAGGTGAGTAGGTCTCTAAAAAACTGCATACATTTTGTTGGTGGCTACGACTGGTTGCGACCCCGTGTAATGTCCGTCTTGTAAAACAGTAGACACGTATTTTTTATTTTCATATGGAAACGAATAGTTTCGAAGATATATTAATTTGAAATACCGCATGACGTTACTTTTGAGTACGATTTATACTATTTTTTTAAGGGGGGAAAGTCATTGAATGACTACTCCCGCCTGGGTAAGGCGGGAGGGAGTGTCAGACTCTTACTGACACTCTCTCCGCAAATAATATTAAATTATGCCGTCTTGGACTATTGTAATGTGTTGGGAAAGAACCCAGGTGTGCAATGTAGCACGAGAAAGGATTTCTTTCCACCAGTGACACCAAAAACATTAATATACTTGTGATATTTGTAATGTTATACATTAATATTATGAAGTTTGTAGACAAAAACGACATTATCGCAAGCAGACGATTAGTAATTACATTTGTTGTATATTGAATAGTAATTACATACAAATATATGTAGTCGTATTTAAACATTTCTAATTATTTTATTTAATAATTTTTATG